TGCTTTTCTGAAATCATGCAGTATATAGCCATTTCAGATTGGCTTCTTTTATTTGGCAATGTATGCTAAAGTTTCTCCTTGCCTTTTTGTTGCTTGATAGCGTGTATCTTTTTATTGCTGAATAATACTCTATTGTGTGGATATACTACAGTTGATCTGCTTACCTATTATTGAACATCTTGATTCCTTCCACGTTTTATCAGTTATGAAAAAAGTTGCTATAAATGTTTGTATGCAGTTTCCTTATAGACATCAGTTTTGACTCGTTTGAATAAATAAGGAGCATTAACTGCTAAATAATATAGAATTAGTATGTTTAGTTTTTTAAGGAATTGTCTTGTCTTGCATTGTATCCATACCATTTTATGTTCTCATCAGAAATGTGTTTCTCCAAACCTTCACTAGTATATAGTGCTATCAATGCTTTGGACTTTAGCCATCTTATTAGATGTAGATTGCTATCTAGTTTTAGTTACCTAATGACATTTGATGTTGAGCATCTTTTTATATTTTCCATCTCTGTGTCTTTGGTGAGATATCTGTTTGTGTCTTCTGTTCATTTTTTATTTTATTTATTTATTTATTTTTAGTCTTACAGAGTTTTGGATACTAATCCTTTATTAGATAAGTGTTTTGCACATATTCTTTCCTCATCTGTGTCTCTTACACCCCTCCCCACATTTCTCATAGAGTAAAAATGTTACTTATGGAGTGTTATTATATATTCTTGAATCTGTGTTTGACTTCAGTTCTGATTCTGAGTTAGTATTGCTTTATTTCTTTAGTTTTAGAATTGTTTTGTGTTTTGTGTGTTTTTCTGTTCAGAATGATGTAAGTTAGTACCACTAAGACCCCCAAAATTTCTTTGCTTATTTGAAAATTTTCTTCCTTCAGTAGTCCCTTGTATTGTATTGTATCCCTGGGACACAATAACCAACAGACACCTGCAGCTTAAAGGAGGAAAGGTTTATCTAGCTTACCATTTCCAGTGGGTTCAGTCCAAAGTCCACTGGCATCAAGGCAGTTGTCCTAGTGGAGGACAGGTGCTTATCCCATGGCTGCTAGGAAGCAGAGAGAAAAGGGAGGAGCCAAGGACAAGAATTCCCTGTTCCAAGTCATGACCCCATTGACCCATCTCCAGCCAGGCCTTATCTCCTTCCAACTCTAGTAGGTGAATCTACTGCTGAGTATAGCAGTCTCTGTGATCTAGCCATCTTCCAGACTTAGGAACCCTACCCCAACCCCTTTGACGGTATCTCTGGATTTGTCTATTTCCTTCTTGCTCTCGGTGTTTGTAAACTTTGAATTCTAGTGAGAAAATAATAAAAGTAATCTTTTTACTTAAAATACTGCTTACATTTAGAGACTTCTGAAAGAAGTGATTTTAGAGATCTCTAAAATTTTTAAAAATAGGTTTCTGCTCTGTTCTGTTAGACTAACTGCGTCTCTTCAAGTTTAATTTTTGAGAAATTTTTTTCATATGTGTGTGTGTGTGTGTGTGTGTGTTTTGTAATTTAAATTATTGTTCAGGAATTGATCTTTTAGAGACCCAGCTTAGTCCAAAAACATGTAAAGCACTTGCAGACTATAAATGGAAAATGTGAAATAGATTGGTAAGACAGATCTGGTAGGTTCAAGCAAAATTAATGTTTTCAGTTGTGAGTCATCTAAAATGTAGTTTTTCCTTAATATGTACTGTATTTTAGCATTCTTGTATTTTGTGTTTTTTTCTGCTTATTTGGTTTAGTAAATCATTTTCAAAGGAAATGATTTTTTTTCAGTGTTGTAAATTAAAATATAATTGGTCATTTTATCTATTTTTGATAGTGGAAATTGATCGTAGGGCCTTTCCACTGAACAGAATCCCCAGCTCCTTTCTATTTTTTATTTTGTGACAGAGTCTTACTAAGTCATGAGTTGCCCAGGCTGGGCTTGAAGTTGCCTCAGCCTCCTAGAGTGCTGCAATTACAGGCATGTGCCACCACACCCAGTTATAAGGAACCATTTAAATTATGTCATCAGTATATCTGGGTGAACTTTACGAAGCTTCAGATGTGTATGGAATCATTATTAATCTATTAAGTGGCAGTCCTTTTGAATAGTTCTATACATTCCTGTTTTCTTTCTATTTCTACAGGTAAGATTTTAGTTTAGAATGGAAGTCAGATGTTTGCTAGGTTTATTGGAGGAATCTTATTTTACACTGGAGAGTAGGTTTGACAATTCCTGATATAATAGTATTGACTGATGTGCCTTAAAGCATTATTTTGCTGTATATTTTGGTTTTTGTTGTATGTGTATAAGTAGCTTTTATTATTGGCATTGGATATTGAAGCCTACTAATTGACTTTCATAAACCAAAATCATGGAAGAAATTTTTGTCAAAGAGGGGATTGATTTAATTTTCCAAATTTTGTTCATGTTTAGTAATAGAAATTTAAAATAAATAAGTGCTTAAACTTCTGTGTAGCATGTTAAACTATAGGCATTTAAGTTTTTTAATTGAAGAACCATATGTGTTATATAGTTTTTCCCTCAAATTTCTCAGTATTAGCATTGTATCGTATCTTGCCATGTAATTCTTCTTCCTCTTTATTCCTCTTCCACAACTTAACTAACTTTATTAGTATTTATTGGTTGAATACTTTAAGTGTTGAGAGTAAACTAACAAAGTTCTTTTGAGAATGACTTGAGTGTCTGTATATTTTGTTTGTTTTGGTTGTGGTGCTGGGGGTGGAACCTAGGGCCTCAAGAGTACTAGCAGATGGGCCAGGATTTAGCTCAGTGACGCCACGCCAGCCTCACAAGTGCTGCAAGATCCTGAGTCCGATCCCTGGTACAAAAACAATAACAACAACAAAAACTAGCACTCTTCCACTGAACTACACACCAGAGAAACTTGAAATTTTCATGACTTTTACCGTTTGTTTTTATTTTCTCTTTGACTTCTGTTGGGATAACTTTAAAATTTTTCTTTAAAAACTTACCTTATGGGAAGGATTCTTTTATTTTTCCCAGTAAAGATGTGGTAGAAACAGTTTTGAATCCTAGGTATCATTTTGTAGAATGACAAATACTTTGTTACGGTGTTAATCAAACCTTGTGTTAGTCACTTTCCCATTGCTAGGGCAAAACACCCAATTCCCACAATTTTAAAGGAGAGGTTTAATTGGCTCACAGTTTCTAGAGGAGTCAGCCTGCAGTTAGTTTGCTCCAAGGCAGAAATGACATGGCAGAAGGTCATGATAGAGGAAAAGTGCTCATTCCATAGCAACTAGGAAAGAGAGAAGGACAGAGCGCAGAGCCAGGGACAAGAATATTCTCAAGTCAGCCCCTGGTGACCCACCTCTTCCAATCAAGGCCCACCTCTGAATGTTTGGGATATTTTAGGTCAAGACCGTAACAGACCCTTTATGGTAAAACCTTGGTTTGTAAGCATAATTGGTTCTAGAAACATGTTTGTAATTCACAACAGTTGTATGTTTATCAGTTGCACATTTTCCCCATAGGAAATAATGTTCCATGACCCAAAAGTCTTGATACAAAAATGATTACTGTAATATAATACAAAAAATAAAGTACAAAATATAAAAGAAAAATAAATTAACCTGCACTTACCTTTGAAAACCTTCATGGTTTATGTGAGAGAGACAGGAGGGTATTTGTATAGGGCAACTTTCATGATCACTAACAGAATCACTGCTATTAGCACTGTGGAATCTTATTTTTCTTTGTAACTGCAACAAACCTAATGACAGTTGCTTTTGCCTTCTTTTGAGGATTTTGCAGAATGTGACATTGTGTTGTCATTGAACAGATTGATCATTTGCACTACTACAGCCTTATTTGGGTGGTTCTTTTCTACAAAATTTTGCACTGTTTGCCACATTTTACACATCTGGCTAAGGTTGTTTGCAATGAGGGATTCCTTTGTTTGCCTTTTTATTCTCCTCCACAGAGATCTCCATGACCTCTTGCATGTGACATTGTGTCAAGTACCTTTTGTATTATAAGACTTGGATGTTTATCAAGTTGAAGTTTGCTAGAAATATTTGCTTGTCTCGTGGAATACTTGCAGAACAAATTATTCACAATCCAAGGTGTTTTTAGTGAGAAGTTATTCTGTCTGAATGTTATTTATAGTTACTTTGCATGATTCTGTTCATGATAACAATGCCCATCTTTAAATAATTCCTTCCCTTTATAAAAAAAAGTCAATGCAGAGTCATACCAGTAGAACAAAGAACTCATAGGATGAATGTAAACATTATATAACTGCCACTCAGATTTTCTGAGCAGTGTGAATAACTACTGTAAATATACCAAGTTCATATTCCAGTTGATGGTAAGATAATTTGATCTTTTAGATTAGACTGTGCTACTTATAAGTAAATTTATAGTTTGTTTTAGGGTTTTGTCATGTCTCTAACTGATTGTTTCTAAAATACTCTAAAATAATTAACTTATTCTTTTAAAATATTCAGATTTACAAATACCTTAAAGTCCTCTATTTCTTGGATTTTAACTTTTTTTTTTAAACATTTTACTTTGGTTAGGAAGCCAGAAAAAACTACTTGAAAGATTTACACTCATGGCCTGGATATTGCTGGTAAAGGTACTAAACACTACACTGGTAATTAATTTTATCTGCAGAATTCATAATGATGATATTAGCTACCCTCTATTAAGACCCCATTAAATGCTATTGCGCTAAGTAAGCACTTTGTTACACTCAATCTTTCCAACAATACAAGAAGAGACAAGTTAATCAGAGGTTTAGTAGTCAATTGGTAATGGCGTTGTTGTTGTTTTTTTTTTTTAATACTCTGCCCTGTAGGTTTTGATATGAAATGTGAAGATATTCACTGTTGAAGCACATTGTAAGATTGGACTTTTTTTTATATAATTAGAGATCTTACTTTTGATTTGTTTTAGTATTACATAGTTTAGCTAGGAATATAAATTTTTTTGAAATTTTCTTTCCTTTTTCTTGTCTCTAGATATTCAAGAATTTTATGAAGTGACCTTACTGGATAATCCAAAATGTGTAGATCGTTCAAAGCAGTCTGAACCAGTTCAGCCTGTGAATACCTGGGAAATTTCTAGCCTTCCAAGTACTACTGTGGCTTCAGAAACACTGCCAAGCAGCCTTAGTCCTAGTGTAGAGGTAAGATTTTAAAAATTCCTAAAACTATTTTTCAGTGATCAATTTATTTGGGCTACTAGGTTTTAAAATTTTTACTAAAGTGGATATTTTGTGGACATTATTTGTAGCAGAATTTAGAGAATGGAGTTAAAAGTATTTTTGAAAAGTTCAGAATCTGTTAAATCTGTTTTATTTGTTGTTTGCTGGTTTCCTGAGACAGAGTTTGGCTATGTAGTTCAGGCTGATCTTGAACTCATTATGTGAGCCTGGCCTCAAACTGTTGGTGATCCTCTTGCCTCACCCTCCTGAGTGCTGAGATTACAAGTATGTGCCACCATGTTTGTAAAATTTGTTTTTTGTACCAGAGATCGAACTCAGGACCTCAGGCTTGCCAGGCAGGCTCTGTGCCACTGAGCTATATCTCTGGCCCCTTCTTTTTAAAAATATTGTAATGTATGAAATACTTGTTTTAGACTATTAAAAACATACTCTGCATGATAGACTTCAATAAGGCTCCATTTGTGTGCTAAGTAAAATGGAAATTGTTCTTTGAAGGGATGGTTTTACTCTGGCATTCTTTCCTAAAAATAGAATATAGTTCTGTGGTTCTGATCCCTTTAGTTATTCCAAGGCTTCTCTGTTCATTGGCCTGAATGATTGTATTAAAACTCACTAGAGACTGATCAACAAAACTTAAGATCAGCATTGATTTCTAGAGTTTTCTCAAGTTGAAACTTTTTTTTTTTTGGTACCAGGGATTGAACTTGGGTCCTTGCGCTTACAAGGCAGGCCACCAAACCACTGAGCTAAATCCCTGGCTACTATTTTTTTTAATATAGTAACTATCATAGTAATAATTCTTTTTTAAAAAGTTGTGCAATACTGTTGCTAGTAGAGTTGGATATGGGATAGTGGAAATGTGAAACATTTTGTGTTCTGCCTGAGAAGCATTAGTCATTTGAAAAGCTGTCTCTTGGCTTTATTCTAGTTCCTTCTAGTTAGTATGAGGCAGTGCCTAGAAAATTAAATCTGCTTCTTTTTGGTGAGTAATAAGGAAAAGTGGGAGTGGCAGCAAGCAGATAGCACTTTGATAATGAGGTAGTTTCTCAGTAACATATAACTAGAATTCTAGAGCGGGGTGAATCAGAGCACATCTGATTCTTCTTAATTTTAACGATGAAAAATGTGAACCAAAAGGAAATGATTTGACCCAGTTTATTTAGCTAGTTGGGGCAAATCTTTTTGGATTTCAGACCTCTCTTAACACCCAGTTAATACTTCTCTTTAGGAATCCTGATAAGACTTTGTATGTTTTTTTTTTTTTCAATTAGCAAGTCTAATGTTACATTCTTATTTTCTTTATTCTTTCATTGTTAAAATTGCTTTTTCTTGGATAGTTTTTATTGCTATTCCCTTCTTTAGTTGCTGTATCATTACTTTTGTGATAGTTCATTTCTCTGATCTATTTCAAATGGAATTAAAATATGTGTACAGTCAGTTATTGTTATGGTTTATATAATACCTCCAAAATTCAGACATTGCCAGTGTGGTAGTGTAGAGATGGAGCTTTTAAGATATTATTAGGCCATACTGGCTTCTCTCTTCCAAAGGGAATAAAGATCTTAGAAAGGCTTTAGTACTGCCTTCTGCTGTGTGAGAATGAAGCAGGAAGACCCTGACCAGACCAAACGATGGACCACCACAGGCCTAGGTCTTAGACTTCTTGGTCTCAAGAACTGTGAAAAATTTCTGTTTTTTACTATGTTTCAGGCGTTCTGTTACAGCAGCACAAAATGGACTAAAACAGTTACACAATTCACATTTTTAGTCCTATTTGTTTATATTATAAAAACTTCAGGAGCACTGACTTGCTATTTAATTACTATTTTTTAAATTGTCTGATCTGTGATTATAAAGTATAGATTATATTTAATTTGCCTATTTTTATAGGAGACTGTTTAGATAGTGCCTGGCTTTCTGCAACCAAAGTATACAATTAATTAAGGTAAAGTAAGTAGACAGTTTTGTAGGTTTGAAGTTTATTTCCATATAGGCTTCAGTGAGAAAGATCAACAATATCTTGAATTTCATCTGTATTGGAAGGCTAGGGGGTGTATCTCAGTGGTAGAGTACTTGCCTAGAATGTACAAAGCTCTGATCTCCCCCTCCCCCAATATTTGAACATTTCAACTTCTATAAAATTATGAAACACTTTTACCTAGAGTGCTATGTGTAGCTCTGGTTTCTGCACCTCCTAAAAGATACTTTCTGGATGTGATAGAGGGACTTCAAATGAATATAAGAATAAGAACTTTCAGATGGTAAATGTTAGATCTTACTAGTTCAGAAAATGTGTGAGAAGGGTGGGTGTACAATAAAAAATGTTGTTTTAGGACTTAACACATGGAAAATACTCTTGAAATCTGTACCTGTTCATGGATAGACTTTACAGGAAGCGTTGAGATGTATCAGTCAAGTCCTAGACTTTTAGAAAGGGGGAAAATAACGGTTTCAAACATAAGTGCTCTAAGGTCAGTTTTAGAAGAGATGACAGTACTCTTGACAGATGTTATTCTGAAATTGTAAGATTGAAACATTGATGGATGGCAGTTATAGTGACTCAAAAAATCTTGAAATGTTTGGAGATTTAATTTCTATTTTTTTCATATTAGCATATATTAATATTACGTGATGATGGCATTTATTTGGGGAAGTTGGTTCATGCATTTAATATCATCTTGATCGGTGTCAATCCCTTTGCCCTTTTCTCACATACCTGCTCTCTCCTGCTTGTCCCCTTCCTACTTAGGTGCAGCGCTGGGGATGGAATTCTTTAAAAGACTAAACACATAAATACTATTTGATCCAGCTGTACCAATCCTGATTTGTCTTGTCTACTGCCTGGACTTTCAGTTGAATTTTAAATTTGGCTTATTGAGGTTTTTATTTCCAAGTTGTATGCTTGTGTTTCTACCTTCTTTGAGCTCATTGATCAATTTAGTTATTGATTCATTCAGCTGCCTATTAGTGTCTTTGATTTCATTTGTCATTTTAATTCCAGTTTTTAAAAGTTTTTGGAATTTCATCAACTTCAGTGTCTGTCTGTGGGGTTAGATTTTAGTGAGTTGAATATTTTTGGAGGCATTATATTGCCTTGTTTTCTCCTTTTAGTTGTGTTTCTGTGTTGAAATTTGCAGCTCATTTGGGAAGGATAACTCATATACTCCACTGTGGGTCCAGATGTTTCTCAGAGCTTACTGTGCTGGACTACTACTATCAGCAGCTTCAGGCCCACTACCTGTTATATAGACTATATCCTGAGTTACCGAGAGTAATTTCTGTTTTTTAGGGCACTGTAAGAGAAGATACATATATTCTATTACCCATCCATTCTGCTTCATTCACATGGAAAACTTTGCTAAATGATCTCTGACTTGATCTCTTGCTTTGATCATGTTAATTACTGAAAACAGACCTAGAAAATTCACTGACCCAAATTTAAGCAAATGCCAAAAAAGTTTTTATTGGACTATAACGTGAAAAAAGTCTGGAGATATTAAAATTATTTTATCTGAAACAAAATTTACTTTATGCACAAAATTTTCAAATAAAGTGAATTTTTTTTTGACAGAATTGCATGCAGCATGGTCTTGCCTCTTTGATTCCATATTTACTTTTGCAGGACTGTCAGAAAGGGTTCATTTTGCAAAAAGCATTTGAGATTGAGCAGTTTCTACAAGGAACTTCTTGTCTTAATCACTTTCTTGTCAATGAGATATGATACCCAGCACTCACAACTTAAAGATCAGGTTTATTTTGGTTCATGTTTCTGTTGCTGGTCAGCTGGCTCCAAAGAAGAAACAGCATGGCAGAGAAAAAGCTGCTCACTCGTGTCAGCCTGGAAGCAGGGAGAGAATGAAGAAAGGAAGGAGTAGGGAGGGAGATAAACCCTTCCAGGTATGATCCTATTTATATACAGTTTGGCAAGCAGAAGTGAGGTAAGTTGAGTAAGCTGGGAAGAATGAAGGACAGAAAGCCAGAGGTACAAGGTTTTGCTGGTACTGCTCAGAATAAAAAGCATGTATAAATATCTGGGGGTGAATGTTGGGATGAGTCTGGACTATACATAACAAGTCTTAGTAATGCCTTTAGTCTTGTAATTTGTTTCACAGAGACCATGCCTATTGTCTTATCACACATTGTATAGTTATCTGTTTCTTCATGTTATTTAACTTATTCTATTGTGTCCTGAATTTCTGGTAACAAAGGTAGGTATAAAGGTTGATTAGACTCATGTTTGGTAAGCAGATTTTATAGTGACATACACTTACACATTGCTTAATGATCTAGTGTGTTCTTAAAAATGTATCCTTGGGCTATTTCCTCATTGTAAGAACATCGTAGAATGTACTTACACAAATTAGATGACTACATTGTCATTAGGTGTGATGATACCCTATAGACCATCTTATATATGGTATATGTGCAAACCTCATCTGAAATGTTTTGTAGCACATGACTATTTCTTAATGCTTCATAGCAGGAAGCATACAGTATGAAATTGTTGCACTTGTGGAACAAAGTTTGACTATTTAACGGGTAATCTCCAGTTTGTCCTTTCTTATGTTTTCCTTTGCAGTTCTGAAGTACAGTATGTATGGGGTAGTATTTTAGCAGCTAATGTTGAATTTTCGCCCATTCATAATTTTATTGAATCAGCTACTTCATTTGCAGTTTCAAAATACTGATTTTTTTTTCCTCCTAATCTCATACTATTTGTATTTATTAGTTGGCTTTTTCCTGTAAAAAAATTTTTTCCCACTAAGCATACATCTTTTTTTTTTTTTTTCCTTGAGTTCATTGGTACAATCAGTTACATTCATTACTGGGACCCTGTACCTTCACATGACAGGTCTTGGTTCTCATTTTTTCCCCTTGTCCCTGCCCTCCCTTTAAAAAGCTTATGTTATTTCCAATAACAGGTTTTCAGGGTAGAAAATATGTGGTAATCCCCTCTAAAA